GCCTAAACTATTCAGGATTAATGGGCACTGTGCATCTAAATTAAAGCATAGCATTCTCTCCCAATTGTATTGAAGAAGCCCAAAGTGTCTTTTGGTGCCAGATGTTTCAGTTTTACCCAAGGTACTTGAAGGTAAGGAGCTATAAATGTAATGTCATGTGATAAAATGCATTGGAATAACAACAGACATTCCAGAAGGCTTTTCTTCTGATGTAAATTCTACCTGTTGTTTTTAGAGGAAGCCTTGCTGTGAAGATAGCATGAAACTTCTCTTCCCGCAGATACAGAGGCAAAGAAGGAACCCCAAAGATTACTTTTCCTTCTTAGACTGATCATCAACCTCCTGGACTCTCACCCTTAACAGTCAGATTGGCCAGACTAATAAGCATATGCACACATGCATGAACACGCATGCATTCATCAGTAGGTCCACAGTGTCAAAATAGTGAACATGATCAGGCTATCAAATACCCCCCCTTTCCCCATGCTTATACTGTGTAACACACACATGAAAAGGGGATGAGGCTTCAATAACCTGGGCACTTTCAGCATAGTTGTTGACTTCTCTCTGCCCCGTTGACAACCCTGATACCCATGGTAAGCAACATGACACAGAGCAGAACATGAGTAAGACACAGCAAGCCAGACTGTAGGATTTTATAACCACAAACCCAAAATACTTTCTAAGTTGTGGGAAAATGAAACTTCAGAAGATACGGCATTGTTTTCATACCATCTGTCATTTGTGTATCATGAAAGCATCAGCCTCTCCTGATTATCCATGATAATTATCTGTCGAAGATTTGCCAAATGTGGTGGAAACTTACAAAATCAGGGACATCTGTGACAGCAACAAGCCCATAGGTATTTCAACAACACATGTGTATTGGTTGATAATAAACATACATGCACATGCAGTGAGAATGGCAGGGGAGCCACAAGAAGAATGGGAACCAATACAGAAAAGTGGGGCTGTGAGTGGCTGAGGAAGACTGTGTCAAACCAGGCCTTGTTTTTCTTCTCCTCTGGGCTGTTCTGGGCAGCTGGAAGACTTCCCACTCTTGTGAAGTGCAAAGGAATGCTTTGCTTGGGCTAGTCCATGCAAAATGCCCAAATATAGACATTTCTCTGGGCTTCAGAGAAATAACTCAGCTGCCTTGGACTCAGACGGATCCTCAGTTTTTGCAGTGTTGGCCAGCAACCCAGTGATCTGGCAGTCAGAGGAGGGAGAAGCTCCTTTCCTCTGGCACAACACCCCCCACACACACTCAGACCATATGGAGGATTCACGTTTGTATGCAAACAGGAATGTTCCACCCCAGTGGCTTTTCTTAAAATTCTATGCACAGAACAACTCAAATCATCAGTGCTCATCTCCCGAGGAGATACACCAATTATCCTAATCAGTTTGCCCTTGTGATTTGCCCATGTACTGCAATTTCTACAGGGATGTAAGGAAATCTCCTATTTCATCTCTTCTATGACCATATCATCTACAAACACTTACTATACTGTACATACATAAAGTTTCTACGGTACTTTTTAATTCTAATCCTAGCATTACCAGTATTGTAGCTAAATTTAACATAGCTTTAAATTAAATTAAAAGGCATCATCAAATCCTGCCTTCCTGGTTATATTATACTTTTGCATCTTTTTTTAAAAAAAAAAAATCTAGACATTTTATCACAATAAAAACACATACATATAAAATTCTATACTCTGGTCAGTAGTTAGAGCAACCTTTTTTCCCCCCTCAGGTTTTAGAGCCAAAATGAGGCAGGGAATGGAAAATCTAAAATAAGAAATCTGACTTCAGTGATCAGAACAATCATAACCTTGTTACCCATTGTGAAACAGTTATAACTGTAAACAGTTGGGAGACAGGTTGGAAAATAATTCCATTGAAGGATTTTAGGCAACTATGTGGGATTAGCTCACACATTAGCTCTTTCTGTACAAACTAGCACATCTGAAGGGTTTCACAGCCTCTGGGCCCAGAATGTTTCATTACAATCAGGGGCATTTTGTGAGCTTTATTAATGAAAGTGCAGGTAATGGTATACATAATACAAAATTCAAGAGAAACAGAGTTGAAAATGGCAACAATGTCTGCAATTTGAGATCACATGCTCAAGTGGTTTTCTTTTTCCCTCCATTATTTTTGCAAACGTGATGAAAATATAAACCTTTTTCTTCAGCAAGAATGCCTTCATCTATCCTCTGCCTTTTAAAAGATAGTTGAAGTGTAACATCTCTTCAAATATTTCACAAATGTGAATAAGAATTGCTTGTCTCTGTTCATTTGGTCAGAAAAAGAAGGCCTGTTAAGTTGTCGTGATCTCCATAAGTTAGCCTGGTCATTCTTGTTGGAGATGAGGGGAATTGGGAACCAACATAACTGGGTAGGTATGCCACCTATTTTTGAAAACAGGAAGGTCAAGACACACAATCTGGGAGAGGGAACTGTATTTTGTTAATAGCTATGAATTCTTGCTGCTTTCTATCACGCTGCTGAAATTCCTTCACTGCTTTCCTTATTTGGAACTTAATTGAATACACAAGACGATGAAAAACGTATAATTGTTTACACTTGCACACAACCTTGCATTATCTTAATTCAGATACATGTTGGCATTTTGTGTGAGCCATGAAACGTGGCTCCAAGAGAGTTAGATTTATCTGTTCATTTATATATTAATTTCTTAAAGTCACTTAAATGCAAAAATATGTTTTCATTTACAGCCCAAGCCAGAAATTAGTTGAATTCAATACTTGGATTTAGATACAGGAAATTATTGAGCCTACCAGGAAGCTAAACTGGTTTGCTGATGGAGTTGCTCTTCCTTCATTACCCTTCATAGGGGAGGGAAATAGTCCCTTTAATATTGTTGTCTATTACACTCTTCTTCAGGTCAGGTATTTGGTGCTCCCTGTCCAATTCATGCTGTTTATGGTATCTACTTCATTCAGAGCTGATCCCACAAACCTGATATCCTCTAGAAGCGTTGGGCTACACTGTCATGTTTAGGATGGCCGGCGAATGGGGATGTGTAGCCAGCACATAACAGAAGAGCCAGATGGGGGAAGACAGTGAGAGGAAAACAGGTTACTTCTTGAGACTGAAAACAGACTCAACAATTTTCTGAAAACATTGCTGTCGTTCTTCTATTATAACAGAATAACACGGAAGGGAACGTAGAGATTTTCTAGTCCAATCCCCTGCCCTATATCATTTCAAACAAATGGTTGTCCAATCTCTTCTTAAAAACTTCCAGTAATGGAACACCCACAACTTCTGAAGGCAAGCCATTCCACTGATTAATTGTTTTGTCAGGAAATTTCTCTTTATTTCTAGGTTGATTGATTAGTTTCCATCTATTGCTTCTCAGTCTGCCTTCAGGTGCTTTGGAGAATACTCTCAGGATCACTTCATATATTCCATTTGTGGTTTATTTGCCATGTCAAAACTACTTACTGGTGACTGACTTCAGTATTCTGTCAGCATCCCATCCATACCCTGATTTTATGGGTACTCCTTTCTTCAGGACTATTGAGGGTGGTGTATACACTCATGTAATCCAACCACCATGGGATGCTAAATAGCCACATATTACCAGGAAGTATTTAACAGCCATTATGCTAAAAATATAATTCATGAAATTGAGATTCATTTGGAGGGAAAGAAGACTGAGATTGCAAGGAAAGGAAGCTGACGTAGAGTGGATGGAGCACACAGCATTCTCAGTCCATGTAACATGGCTTATTGATGGACATTTCAAAAACAATGTCTCTTCCTTGAGAGTGTTTCTTTCCATAAATCAGCATAGTTTAAGAAAGTGTTACAAAAACCTTCTGGCCCCCAAATTTATTCCCATGTCTGTAGTAAACAAATGTCTTGAGAGATATTTGATGTAATCTTTTAAGTTATTGCCCACTTGATTAGGTAAAGTTCAAACTGATTGTTTGCCTCAAACCCTAAAGATGCTGTCTGAATTTTTCAAATTTGAGTTTCCAAAGTTCAGGTAATTATATGTGTGGACTGCTTGCCTTTTTCATTATTTCCCACTCACAGCTAAGCTGGTTCTTTTTCTCCTACATGAATTCTAAGATTAAGTATTCTAAATTCTAAACTGAGATGGGAAATTGCTGCTTACTTCAGAGGTAGAAGCAGCAACGCCCCAGACCCAGCAGTAATGCAGTCCATTCAGCTGCCTTTGCTTACAGCTACATCATGGCACCATGACAAGTCTTTAGCAATCAAAGGTGAAGTGCACACCCATTTCTTTCCACCAAGGAGCCATGGCCTGTAAGAACCTGTTTTTGCTTTTTGCTATAAGAGAAATGGAATCCTTGAGATCACAGAGACATTGAACAATGAGTTATGTCTCCACAATTTCTCCCCTACCTTCTTGCTTCAGTATACAGTACTCTAGGCCAAACAGAACATGACATTGCCATTTCAGTAGAGCAGCAATGGGCACAAATGTGACATAGCTTCATTTACAGTCTTCTTGTACCGACAATATGCTGGACACCTTGTCATGATGCTGCTGTTCCAGTGTAGCTCTTTATATGTTCCTAGTGGCAAGCGATTGCAGTGTTGCTGCCTGGGAAATGATGAGATAAGCAGAGATACCCCAAATTCAGACTTCTTCAAGGTTGATCACATTTGCCCCTTTACTTTCTGAGCTCCCACAAGGAAAACTAGACAAAAAGCCCAAATATACCATATCTGCAGACCCTTCTTTTCAGGAGAAAAATAAGTTTTGTTATTAAAAAGGACTAAAAATAAATATTACTTCTTCCTGATAACAACGCCTTTTGGCAATCCATCTAATTCTTCTGTCCAAATTAATCCCATAGAGAACACTGTTCATCTGGGACTAAGACAGGGCGGGCTGTTGCTCTGTTGCGTTCTTCTCATGTAAACAGTCACCCGAGAGACAAACACAGTGATTCAGCCTTGGCAATCTTCTCTGTCCAAGATTCCTCTCCTTACTATTGAAGTAACTTGGGAACCTCCACCTGCCAAAATAAGACATGAACTTAGTACAAATTCTCAAATTAGAGGCATCTAAGGGAGATCCAAAGAGCAACTCAAGGTTACAGCAGTTTATCAGAGAAACAGGCATGTTAATATCCCCTCTTTCATTCTCTTCCATCATCCCTTTGTAGCTCCTTCCTATTTTAGAAAGCTTTATTATTAAAAAGCACATCTTAATTTAGATTAGTCCTGAAATAGCTTTGTCAAAAAGGGTTTGTCTGTTGAGAATGGTGTTTTTAAAGGCAGATGCTGAAACCTAAAAGATCTTGACATTATGTCTCAACTGCCATCTGTCTTATCTCCAGAAAATAGTGGCATCTGAAGAGATGATCTTAACAGGTGGGTAATGGGAAAAATTGAGGGCAATAGAAGAAGGGGACAACAGAGAATGAGGTGGCTGGATGGAGTCACTGAAGCAGTAGGAGTGAGCTTAAATGGACTCCAGAAGATGGTAGAGGACAGGAAAACCTGGAGGATGGGTTGGACACGACTTCGCAACTAACAACAAAACACAGGTGGTGCTTTAGCTATCCATAGTCCCACAGAGTTGCTAAATGGAGGCCTTTTGTGTGTGAAACTCCACCAGGAGATGTTAGTAAATACCTAAAGAATGTAGCCCTTGCAGAAACGATGAAGAAATGTTCCAATCATTAGACACAGAAATGTGAGGTGACTATGTGCAAGTAAGCATCAAAATAACTAGCATTATCAAAAGTGGTAGCTTTACTGAACCCAGCAATAACTCAAGTGCTGCCTCCCAATATGACCACCATGATTGTGTCTTGATTCACATGTAGCAATAAGCCATTGTTTCTTTTAACTGGCTTGTTGAACTATGGCCAGAGGTATATGTAACACTATGCATAAAATATGGATTATAAACCACAAGGTTCAGTCAATGTGTAAGATTAGGCAAACCAAGTAAGCCATATTATAACTTAGTGCTGTAATGATGTACCTTTTTCAACTGCTTCTTGTTGCTAGAGCGAATTGCATCCAGAAGTTGGTCTCTGGAATTCTTTTCCTGGGAAGGAAGTGCTTTCTCCACCATCTTCCTCTGAGTGGCCGGAGAAAGGGACAAGCGTAGGTTTTCATTAATCAAGGGAGGAGCAGGGGGAGGGGCTAGAGGTGGGGGTGGGGGAGGAGGAGCATCTGGGGTACCAGCTTTCTTAGGAGGGGCTTTAGGGGAAGACCTTGGGGAAGTTTTCGGGGATGGTTTTGGAGAAATCTTTGGAGAGGCAGGTGACAAGCATCCTGCCTTTGGCACCTCAAGGAAGTCCTTCTTCTCCATCTTTTCTTGGGCCTGTTTCTGCTCTTGTAAGCGTTTCTGTCTCTGTTTGTCCATATTCCTGCTTAGTAGGTTTGTGACCGTCATGCGTGGCCCAGCTAATTCAAAGTGGTAGCCCAGTTTCAGCAATGTGGTGTTCTCTTTCAGCAACTTAGCTATCTCCATCTCAGTCTTCCCTCCACAAATATGTCTCTGATTGTGAAAGCGCAGCTCCGTCAGAGTCTTGTTCTGCAGCAGTGCACGAAAGATGGCCAGGATCCCTTTGCCTGTGATATGATTGGAATCTAGGTTTACGCTTGTCAGTGTCTTATTGGACTTTAGCATGATGGCAATGGCAAATGCAACATGATCATCAGCACGTGTGTTGGCCAGAGCAAATACCTTGACCACTGTGTTGAATTCCAAGGCCTCAGCAAAGCGTACCAGGATCTCATTGTTGATGCAGTCAGAATTGTTGATGTTAACTTCTACCATCTCTGGGTCATCATTCTTGATCTTTTCCAAGGGTTCATCAAAAATGCTGGTGGCTTCATCCTCCTTGCTCTCGCTTGAAGAATTGTCTGCAGATTTAGAGGGGCTGCTATCAGGAGGCTCTTGGGTCATGTCCTCTTGCTCTAAAATTGGGACATTTGTCTCTGGAATTCCTTTGCTATCCTTCAAGAGTTTCTCTTCATTGTCAACCTTTGAGCCTGGCTTTGGAGTTGAACTTATTTCTCCTGCTTTGGGGGGTTCTCTTTTATCTTCTCTCTTTGAGACTGGTTTTAAAGCTGATCTTCTTTCTCCTATTTTTTCGCATTCTTTTTTATCTTCAGTCTTTCTCTCCCACCCAGTCCCTCTCTTGTGTTCTGCTGCCTTCTCTTGTGTTCCTTTATCTTCTACTGACCTGCTCTTTAGCAGTTTACCCCTTTCTTCCCCTCTCACTTGACCGGTTACACTTTTATCTGCCGCCATGGATTTTTCTTTCTCTCTGGAAAACCTTTTTTCATCCTTACCAGTTTTCTCTTTGGCTTGTCCCATTTTGCTGTTGCGGTCTGTTTCATCCTTTCTCTTCTGATTTGTTTTCTGGACCTGTTCTTCTTTTTTCCCTTCCTTTATCAGATCAGGAGTTCTACTTTTTTTCAGATCTCTGCTGTAAGGCTCCTTATGTTTGGCTTCAAGAATCTTTGCCTCTTTCTTCTTCTTTGCTTCCTTATGAGTGGGGAGAAAAAACAATAAAACTTGATAAGAGAGAATGATCTTATGCATGGCATCTTGAGCCCACAGAAAAATAGACAAGATATAAATGCAGTAATAAAGATTTAGTAGAATAAAAATCAGCAGCCAGTCAATGAAAACCAGAGCTAATATTATTATCCCTTCCAAATATTAGTTTAAACTAGTTATATGGATGCCTATTTAAAATAAAAATTGCATACAACAGTGGTGTTGTTAGCACAGAGTGACACAGCAGAAGTCTAGAATTTGTAGCTATTGGGAAAACTGTACCAGTTATTGCAATTGTGGGATGCTTTATGCTGAAGTTCTACTCAGTTATGAATTGGGAGAAAGGTAGAAGTTGATATAGGTGGTCTTTGACTTACAGCCATGTTTAGCAACCATTTGAAATTACAACAGCACTTTAAAAAGTGTGTTATGACCAGTCCCCACACTTATAACCATCATAGCATCCCCACGGTCACATGATCAAAATCTAGGTCAGTGGTGGCGAACCTATGGCATACGTGCCAGAGGCGGCACACAGAGCCCTCTTTGTGGGCACGTGTGCCGTGTCCCGGAGATGGTGACGGAATGGTCCCCACTGCCCTGGCCCCTGCCATGACCACCGCAACCATGCCCACACAGCACCCGGTGATAAATAAGTGGGTTTTGGGTTGCAGTTTGGGCACTGGGTCTCTAAAAGGTTCGCCATCACTGATCTAGGTGCTTCGCAACTGGGATGTATTTTTTAATGGTTGCAGCATCCCGGAGTCGTGCGATTACCATTTGTGACCTTCCCAGCTGTCTTCCTACAAGCAGAAGGAATGAGGGAAGCTGGATTCTCTGAATGACCGCATGATTCACTTAGTCTCAGTCATTCACTTAACAATCATAGCAAAAAGTGTTGTAAAATTGGGCACGACTCACCTAACAATTCCTTGCTTAGCAGCAGGAATTCTGACCCCAATTCTGGTTATAAAGTCGAGGACTACCCATATAACTATGATGGATACCAGATGCTAAGATACTTAGGCAAGATATTTGAAAAATGGCCATGGAATGAAACCACATTCTGAAGCAGGGGGCAAACTATATGTAATGACTTTTGAGCCTGATATGCTGCTGGTGGTAGATGTTCATAAAGATTACCTTTGTAGGATCTAAGATATTCTGCTTAACTAGGTTAGTTTTTGGTAAAATGCTTGGGGACAAGCTTTTCTTCAGTACTTTGATGGATTTAATTTAAGATGTCTGAAATGCTGCTCAAATTCATGCTGTGATTTTCCTGAGAGTGCAGAGTTTGATTGCTATGATATAGTTTTGATCACTGTTTCTGGAATGAGACATATTTTGGTCTCATTTCACCTTTTATTCTATGGCTTTTTAGGGTTACTTTCCCCGATTCATTTTCATTATCAAATTCTTTATCTATGGCATGGCATACACTACTGCACTCCTTTTAATTAACATCTTGGTTGCTTATTTTTAGAAAATGATTTGTTGTTTTGAATGAGAGGCTCATTAAATATATCCTAGTTTATTTCATTTTCTGCAGGTGTTTCCTTTAAATCTGCATTCAGCTTATATGTGTAAATAGTTGCCACAATGACAACACAGCTACTTCTGACTTGTTATTGTCTGTCTATATGCTATTGCCAAGTTTATTCACATTTGATTTCATTTCTCACTAAAACTCTACTGTAACTTTAACGTTAGTTTCCATGGATACTGTATAGCAATTTTCTGCTCTTTTAAAAGTTAAATGTCCTGAAAATCTTATATTTGCTGAGTTTTTTAAATGTTTCTTTCAGATTTTTAATCGGTCTCTATCCCAGTCCACTATGGCAGTGGTTCTCAACCTGTGGGTCGGGACCCCATTTGGGGTCAATCGACCATTTCATGGGGGTTGCCAAGCAAGGCTGTCCACCATTTTTTTGTCCGCCATTTTTTTTGTCCGCCATTTTTTTCCCCTTTTCTGGCGGGTGCCTTACCTCCCTTGGGCTGGGCCAGCTGGTGGTCGGCCTGCTCAGTCTCTGCCGCTTGCCAGCTACGCCGGCGCAGGGGGCGGAACCACGCATGTGCGGCGCTCCCGGGCAGGGAAAGTCCTCGACTTACGACCGGTTGGGTAGTCCTTGACTTACGATCGGTTTAGTCCTCGACTTACGACCGGTTTAGTCCTCGACTTACGACCGGTTGGGGTTGCGGCATTAAAAAGGTTGAGAACCACTGCACTATGGCATCCTCTATGGATCTTTTTGCTCTGTATGCAAACTGGTGACTGTCGAGTGTGTATGGGAGGCAGGACACGATGTGCCTGCGGGCCAGTTTTTCAAAACACTTCATGATAATAGGGGTGAGTGCCACTGGTCTGTAATCACTGAGACTTTTAATAAAGGACTTCTTTGGTAATGGAACAATGATGGAGGCCTTCAGACAGGATGGAATAGTGGACTGGGATAGAGACCGATTAAAAATCTTGGTAAAGACCCTAGCCAACTAGTCTGCGTAGTCTTTAAGCAGCCAGCCAGAAATGCCATCAGGTCCAGCAGCCTTCCTTGAGTCCACAGCTCTCATGGTACTCCTCACCTCATGCTCCTCCACGGTGAGGGGAGGGCTGTGGTGGACTAGTAGCTGTGGTACACCTGTCTCTGGTGGCTTCACTTGGAATCGGGCAAAGAAATGATTCAGCTCCTCTGCCAATGAAGCATCCCTGTCAACAGGAGTGATGTTATTGGGTCTATAGTTGGTGATTTGTTGGATCCCCTGCCACACCTGCCTCACATCATTGTTATGAAAATGATCTTCAATCTTCCTCTTATAAACTGCCTTGGCCTGCCGAATGCCATTTTGAACTCGATATAACTGAGGAAATGCAGCCGCACAAGCTGTGTTCTATTTTGATCCTTAGACCAAACTACTTGGGCATAAGGTACCCCCTCAAATGAGCGTAATGTTCCACAACCATAAAGAGCTGGGCCAAAATACATAATTGGCATCAGTCAAGAATGTTGTGACTAATCCGGAGTGTGTTTTAAAATTGGAAAAATAACATGTTGATCACCTGCCAAAGACTTTATGAGCTCAAGGGGCATCACTATCAAACTATGGAGCCTTCTGATCCTACTGTTTTACTTTGTCCATTGGTACTGCTACCTGCATTTTCTGCTTTTTACCATGGCAGCCAGAACTGTGAGCAGAAGCACAATTAATCACACAGTATGCATCCTTTCTTTGAACAGTTTTATAAGTGGAACTTCCCCCCCCACAAAGACCAAATGAATAGATAGAGTACAAAATGAGTTTAGCCAGTTTGGTAAATGGGAATTGAGTCTGGCACTAGAATTACAGATCCAATCTGGGTCAGTCACCAGGACCAGAGGTTTAGTCTTCCGAGCTTTTAGACGTGTGCTGGTAGCCCATTCTCAAGAGGATGGGCTCCACCACATGTCGAAAAGCTTAGAAGACTAGACCAGAGATTTTGTCTTCTGAGGTTTATGAAGATGGGCTCCAACACAGGTCTGAAAGCTCAGAAGACTAAAACTCTGGTCCTGGTGCCTGACCCAGATTAGATCCAGCAACATTACCCTGGATCACATATGTTTGCCTTCATTTACTAGAATTACAGCTGTCACTGTAATATCAGCTGCTTTGGATTACATAATATAGCTTCATTTCATTTGTTTGTAAAATAAGACAGGGAAGGTGGCAAATGCTTCTCAGAAGACCTGTTCATCAGTGTATACTGGTAATATGACTGAAAATGCAAGTTGAATAATGGAGAATTGAGAAAAATCCCCACAACTCAATAATCTTTACAGAGACATTTTCCACACCATTTATTTATTGCATATTGCTGTGGTTCTTCAATTGTTTGACACAATTAACCTTTTTCCCCCAATTTAGAATAATTCCTTTACACCCAGACTCTGTTATTTTATACAAGAGTCTCGAGTCTCGTGGCAGTCCCAAACCGGATCCTTGACTCACAAAGAAGCAATTATACATTACCCACAGGATTTGCCCAAATTAACCCCTTGGGTTAATTATCTCCTGTTTAAGAACCACTGGCATATTGTATTCATATTTCTGCAAAACTACTGTGCTGCTTAATGAATGTTAAACAAAAACTAAAATGATGAGAGGGGTAGTTGGAAAACAGAGGAATGTTAAAACTTGCCAGTGTTGCCCATGAACCAGGCACGTAAATTGCACAATACAAAGAGATTCATACGAATCATTATTTTGTTAAAAGAATCAGCAAATAAAGTACTATTTTCCATTAATGAACTTATATTGTGTTTTGCTATTTCTGTTAAAAATTAGAGAGAACTCTCATAAGATAGTTGTTTAGGATGGATTAAGCCAAATTCTCTGTTCAATAAACTTGCCCTTTGGAGTGGAATTGAGGTATATTAAAATATAACATCTGGTTGTCCATTCCCATGTAAGAATAGCTTAGCCAAAGTATTCGAGTTTAATCTCCCAGGCTTATATGGATTTTCATTTTTGGCATTAGCAGGAGTCAGTGATTCTCTACCTTCTTGTTCAAGAAAATGTACAGAAAAGGCCATCTGTTCTAAAGAAGTTGAAATAACAGATTACATGATTCAACAGAGTTTGCCTTAAGTTATTGTTTATATACCGAAATAAGCAAGTTCCGTTTTTGGAAAACAAGAGTTTCTGTAATTAGTTTGAGATTACTTGGACTTATTTGCACTGTAAATATCTAGAGTTGCTCTTCGTAGTTAGGAATACAAACAAACAAAATATTCCAGGGTAGACAGTTTATGATCTCATTTACCTTTCAGAAGGGCTACTAGATCTGAAGTAAAACACCAAGAGGATCACTAAATATTTTTTTTCCTCCCTTTGCTGCTACCTAATGGTTATTTACATATTTGAAGCTCAAATGTAGCCTAGTGTTACATTACACCACCATCCTTTTCTTCCTCTCATCAATTTGCAGTCCAAGCCTCATTGTCACTCAAGAA